AGTTCATGGACTGGTTCAGGGCTGAACAAGCTTTAAGCAATTCTGGACAATGATATTTGTTGAGAATCTTGTTCAAGACTTCTTGTAATGTAAAACTAGTCTCTCTCTACACAGTTATATGAAGAAGGGAAGATGATACCACATATACTGATGGGAACTTGCTTGTATCAAGCAGGATCAGAGTAGAAAAGAGATTTTCACTTAGATAATTAAAATAATGATACTTTAATTATAGGTATAGGTAGGGTTAAAAGTGAGTGAGTCAAGGAATTTTTGAGGTTCCTAGAGATTAGAAAGAGTGAGAAGACTTGAAGAGGCAAAGGGAGCTGGCAGAAGCTATAGTTGTGGCCAGAACAATTGTGTACCAAAGTAAGCAAGGAGTGGAAAAAGAGCACCATGGATTTGCCTTCTTCCAACCTTCTGATCTCCTGCTGGTACCATCCACTGGCTAAACCCAACCAGAAGCCAACTGGATAGTCTTGACAAGTGATGTAATCCTTAGCTCAGCCTTTAGGGCACAGAGCAGGGACAATAAGGACAGAGAATGGACCTGACTAGGCAGACTAAGAATACCAGAACATTCCTTACAACTGTATGGGAAACCAACTATAGGTTAAAGCCAGTGCAATAGACAGAAGGGTAGGGAGTTAGAAATAATTGGATCTGGTTAACATGGATAAAGATTGAATTAACTGACCCTAAAGACCACTCGATTTCTGAACTTCTATTGTGAAGTATACATGATTATGGAACACATTCTCTTTGTCTTGAACTTCCTCCCTCTCCCACCCAGATTAACCACAAATATAAGTGTTGCATGAAGCATCTTTTACTGAAGATTTTAGGCTTATATAAATGGTTCACATGTCACGGTGAAATGCAAAAAATAAAAATAGAAATTGCAAATTTGATAATTTTGTCTTAAATCAGGTTTCTCACTGACTATTTCACTCTTTAGAGTATCTTGCCTTCTTCCAATTCATTAGTTTCTCTGTCTCTCCCTCACCTCCCTCCTTTCTCTGAATAATAACATAGGACTTATTTTTCAATATAGTGATAGAAGATGAAATAGAAGGGATGGAAAGGAGGAGGGAGAAGAAAGGAGGGAGGTGAAAGAATATGCAATGGACAAGGATTATGTCAGTTTTGCTCATTGGTTCAGAGTACCATTGTAGGTTCAATGCTGAATATTGGATGAGGAGAGTTGTTTGAGAGAACCCAGAGTCACTTGAGCTGACTGTCTCCAAGCCAGTCACTCTCAAGGGGTAGGCTCGGCTACTTATCCAGAATTGTACAATCTCATCCTGATTTCATTTCCCTCTTTAAGTAAGATTATTAAGTAAGATTATCAGAGGAGCTGAGAGTGATGGTGGATGTAGTATAACACTCATTTCAGTCCCTATTCCCTCAGAAGAGCTCAAGTTTTCATACATGAGGATATAAAATCATTCTCCCTCAAATATTATTGCTGATGTTGCTGTTGTGCATAAACCATGACTTTGGATAGGCATTTAAGTGGGCTGAAATACCTTTTATATAGCCTTTTATATTATGACCTCTTTTAACTAGTAAGGACTTATAGAAGAAAGAGGCATTATAAAGATTTCACAGAGGACTATTTAAGGTTTTTCTGGAGATGAAGCAACATGGTGAAAATAGATCTAGAAGCTGTGGGAAGAGCGATGTCTGGAAATATCCTAATAATCAATAGAGAAACAGAAGCAGAGTTGAGAGAAACAAAAGCCAGAGGTGAGGAGAAAAGAGTGACATTTGTAGATGCATTCTGAGTGGTTATGTCACCAGTGGCCCCGCTGAGAAGTGGAGTGAATAAGAGACTGAAAGGAAGAAGGAACTTGAAGAAGTGGATTAGGAAACAAAGCTCAGTCACATACCAAGTTCCAGCAGGCAGCCTGGGGTTTTGTCTCATTCTTCTTCTGTCTTCACAGGCCATTTCTTTATAGTCAGAGGAACCATGAAACTGGCGAGCTCTGGGCTCCTATGCCAGGATCATCCACTTTTCCTATTTACCTCAAGATTTTCCAAATATTTTGAGTCACCTGATTTCTTATCTTCCTGCCAAACCTTTTCCCACAGTCCTGGTCCTTTCACCTTCCAACATCTTCCAAGTCCTTATCGGACATCTGCTGTGGATTTTCCCCATAATCCCTTTCTTGGAGGAGGTATTGTTTGAGCATATCCCCTGGCTGATGAGAAAGGAGTTCTTCACAATGCCCATTTCAACCTCCACAGAACTGTATCTTTCTCTTCTCTGAAAATGGGTTGGCACTAGGGATTCTGAGAAAGGAGAAGCTGTTGGAATTAGATATGCACAGGATCCAGTGGGGACCTGCAAGGTACAGGGTCCATTGATCAGAGGGGCAGGGAGTGAGGGTGTGGACAGAGTTGGGACATTCAGTCATGATGTCCAAACTGGTTTTCAAGTGAGCAGTGTTCCTCAGTTCTCCAAAGCGGTCAAGTTCTATAAACCTCTCAATCTCAATTTGTTCTCACCTGGTTTTCATTTCCAGGTTCTATGTAGAACTGCTCATCTAAATCAAAATTGTCGGGAAACTGGCATAAAGGGTGTGTCATAGTGCCTATGTGGTCAGCTACTGATCAAAGGAGGCAGAACATAGAAAGAAGAGAGAATGGGTAAGAATAAAGGTGGATCTGATACTGTGCCTGCACATTAATCAGAATGTAACCGATGCTTGAAAGAACCTGGGTACAAAATCCTGATTTCCTTTCTCTTTATCTTAGGCTCCTCAGGTATCTGGGGTTTTCTTTAAAGGGTCTTGGGTTGAGAAGTGTGGCCCAGAAACAAGAACTAAATAAAAACAACTTGTGGATGGAGGTTCCTGCTTATTCTCAAAGATGTGTCCTATGGGTAAGTCAGCTAATTTGTCAAAAGATCCTTTCAAAAGTAATATTTCGTTTTATATATTTTAGCATTTTAAAGGCTGTTTTGCTAATTTCTCTGAAGAGTCAAATCATAAAATTTACTAAATTCAAACAAAACATATTTTTTTAACTATTTAAAATATTTATTCCAATTTATATCAAAAGTATTTTAAACAACTTCTGAAATTGTCTGTGAAGTATAATTAACCAGTTTATACTTTGTCTTTATAATGTATTTGTTATAAAGCTTCATGGAAACCAAGGACTGTTTGTTGTCAGAAAGATGGAGTGGAGTCATGGAGAGCCAGAGAATGGGGCCAGGGACGAGCAAGAGGGCCCAGAAACTCAGGGATCTATGATCCACAGCCCTCTAACACACTTCCAAACCATCTAATATGGTTTAACATATTTCTAACAAGCTTCACAAATAGAAAAAAATGAGTTTGGGACACATTAATAATTTTAGTAAATTTAGCAAACTGGTCATTAGCAAAAGGCTTTTGATGGATTGGGTTCATTAAAGTAACCTGAATCCTTTTTGGCTCACATAAAGTAATCTATAGACCCTCTGAAAAGTCCCCTCAACATTGCTTCCAAGGTGATTTTATAAACAGAAAAGCATATCATGGCACTCCTCTGCTTAAATTCCCTGTTTTTTTTTTTTGTTGTTGTTGTTGTTGTTTTCTTGTCATACTGCGGGATGGGGGCTGGAGGTGGGGCGGAAACCCAGATGACTTTCAATGGTTCTGTTGTCAACTTGGGGGTGGGGTGGAAACCCAGATGACTTTCAATGGTTCTGTTGTCAAATCTAGGTTCTGTTGCAAAGACTAGGATACCCGCCTTCCACCCTCTAATCATACCAAACTACACTCTGTGAGTGGTCCCCCTCCTAGTCTTGCAAAGAAAGACAAAACTACAGGAAACAAAACCACACAGATGTGTCAGAGCTCAGACACGGGGCCCTGATCATGAAGATGAGGAATGCAGGGCACTCAAGCTATGGCCAGGACAAGGCTTTTAAACATTTGGCAGAAGCTACAATGACAAATAGCCAGTCCTTCTTTCACTAAATCAAATCAAGATGGGTAATACATGATCATGAACTCTCTCTGTCATAATAGTCCATGTAGCTCACAAAGCTGCATTCACTTTCTTTTTCTTTTATTAATTTGTGCTAAGACTCTGTGTTTTGTGCTCAAGTTTCCACATTTGTAAGCCCACTGAGAGAAGGACCGGGTTCTAAGATCTCAAATTATACTTAAAATGGCAGTTCTGTGCAGGGTTAGTCATGGCATTTCAGAGAAGAAAAAGGTAGTGGATTCATGATCATATATACATCTAATGTGTTCTCCCTGCTCTTTCAAATTTGTAAGGTAAGAGGTAGGGTTTCTAAACCATAATGATTCCATCACCTGCATTGAGATAAGTAACAAGAAGACTTTTCAGTCTTTGTTAGTGATGTTAAAAAAGATAAACCCAGTACTGTTATATCCAAAAACTAATCTGTATGCAGCTTACCATAGATTGCAGAGGAGTTTTACAAATTATATCTGCATTCATGACAGTGGTCCTGTGAGGTGTGTATTCTTTCTATAGATGAGGCAAAACTAAGTCTTTCAGAGCTGAAATGGTTTATGTGTGGTCATTCTGCTACTGATTCGACTCTTCAGATTCTCTAAAATGTGATTTTAAAGAGATAACTACGTGCAAAAGAAAGAACATATTTTATATGAGTCATGAAAAATTCATACAACTGGCTACCTAAGGTTCATATGGGGTCATATGTGAGCAGCTTCATAAAGAGTTAGAAAAATTTAGGGATAATAGCTTGACGAATTTTTATTAAAGGGAAATAAAACTCTGGGGCAGTATTTCTTTTTTCTTTTTTAAAATAATATTTTATTTTTTAAGTATAGTTGGTATACAATATTGTATTAGTTTCAGGTGTTCAATACCGCGATTAGACCTTACAGTGTGATTACCACACTAAGTGTAGTAATCATTTGTCACTATGCAAATTTATCACAATATTATTGACTATATTCCTGTTCACTTTTTCCCCCATTTCCCCCATGCTTGCCTCCCAGCAACCATCAGTTTGATCTATGTTTGGCACTGTATTTCTAATTATATTACTACTGGCATTAAGGAAACCATAGAATCCTTCAGAATATATGTTTCTTAATTTCTGAAATGAATGCAGAATGGGGTCCCAAGTGGCCCTTCTGGTGACAAGATGATTATTATGTTCACAGTTAAAACCACTGACCAAGCACAGAGTCTAAGGAATGCTGACCAGGGAAAATGATTTCTCCCCGAATTTCCACAAAGAAGGAATCCACAATTTTAATCTTCCATCCTAAGGGAACAGAGAATGTCCCCAGGGGAGAGTCTCCCCACTATAACCCTGACCCATATCAATGACTGTTTCTTTATCTCATTGTCTACCCACAGGAGCACGCACTGCCCTCATCCTACGTGCCTTGCTTCCACAAGGGCCCCACGGGGTGATTCAGGTAAATACCCAGAATCAGGATGTTAGTCGGAGTATCTTCCTCTCAGGCCAGGCCTGCGGTGGCTGCCCTGAGTAATGCAGCAGGGATATGTAAAGTGCAGAGAACTCTAGAAAAGGTAGAGTATGCTGACTAGGTCAGGTGGAGGCCCAAACCAGAGCCTTTCAGATGAAGTTTTATCCAATCAGAAAAAGGAGTCTAAGCTGACACTTGTGTTGCTACTAGAAAGTCTGTGTGAGGAGGCCTGTGAGACAGGGAAATCCCCAAGTCTGATGCAGCCTCCACTGTACAGGCCCAGAACAGAATCGAGGGAATTTCCCCCCTTAGGACAGGAGGTAGGGGATGCGCCAGAGTTTTCTGCTTATTCTGAGGGACCCTGAGGTAGATGCTGAGGGAACTGAAGCACCTTTAAGATCTTTCTTTGACCATTCTTCTTTGGCCCCCAATCCTACTTCAGGTCTGAGTTTGATGTTCCTTCTTTATGTTTCCCTCCCACCATGGAAACCTTTACTTTGTAGTTATCTTGATCCTGAGTATACCACTGCTAGTGGAAGCCCAGCGATGAATTTCCCAGTCTCAGGTGCTCTGGAACTATGCACCCAATACAGAATACTGGAATAACTCACTGCCTCCATGTGTCATTAATGGAAACTTCTCGTTATCCCTTCCCTATTTCTTTTTACCTGGTGGACTCCTTAAATTCTGCTTTTAGATCCTGTAGTTTATTTTAGAAGGAGAACTAAAATACAGAGAAGAGAGAGAGGGAGGGAGAGAAAAAGAGAAGGGGAGAGATACTTATTGTCTTGTCTGCCAGGTACTGTTCTAATTACTCTGTAACCATTTAGTACTGCCCCTAGTCATGGGCAAGAGGAGACTGATAAATAACAAATTTATTTTAGAAAGTACATCGATACTTCTGCCATCCAGGGTTTGATGTTTAGGACTGACACAGTACAATCTGTGGCTCTAAACATGTGTTCCCTTATTAACACTATTCAGGCCCCAGGAAATGCTTCTCCACAGCTTTTGCTCTCTATCCTTGAAACTAAAGGTGACTGTGTCCGAATGTTGTGAATGTTTGTGGACTGCGCCTTTGCTGAAATCAGATGAAACTGTTTCATGGTTCAGGGAAGATTTAAGCAGCTGAAGAGCTTATAAGGGAAAAGTCAATATAACTTTTCAAATATTTTCATTCAAAAAGCACAGATACAATAGATTCTTGCATAATGAATAAGCACTTGCCAGCAAGGTGTCAAGTTTTCTGTTTGTGATATTCCCAAAGGATTACACATGATAGCAAAGAGACATTTTGCAATATTAAAGCAGTCATATTACTGTTAAGTTTGTATATATAAAGATCTAGATATAAAATGTATGAAACATGATCCACATTTTACAAAGAGAAGCCTGAGGCAAAAAGAGGTTCAGTAATTTCAACAAACAAAGCAGCTCAAAATCATTTCCCTCTCAAAGTTCTGCTCTTTCTACCACAATTTAAGGCTCTCAGTGTCTAAGATAATAGAAGTGAACATCTCTGTGACAATAACTTTCTCTCCCCTGATATATGTTCTCCACTTATTTTTCTCTACTAAAAACCCCAAATATAAGAACGATAGATTTTAAATATATATCACCAAGGTGCCTACTCTTGAATCATTTTTCTTTTGGTTCTTTAAGCCCCTAAGGCATTCAATCTTCAGATCTCCTATAACAGAGAAAATCTTCACCTCAAAGGTTCATCTAGTGTGATTTGACGAAGACATAGTGCCAGGCTTTGGATTGAGAACTTTCTCAAAAAATCATCTGCCCAGAGACAGATGAGGTACTTCAGCTCCAGTGCTGATTGGTTCCTTTCCTAGGGTCTCTCCAATCCTACCCTGCATGGATGCTTTCACAGTTTCTTATTCTCTGAAGTGGGTGCCTCAGAGTGGGTACACCAGGTGTGAGCTGTGTTGACTACCATTTCTTATTTCTTTGCTCTCAGTTATGTCTGGGATGATGGCTCTGCAGATCCCCAGAGGCCTTTGGACAGCAGCTGTGATGGTGACCCTGGTGGTGCTGAGCACCCCAGTGGCTGAAGGCAGAGACTCTCCACGTAAGTGCAGGGCAGCTGCTCCCCAGAGCCACCACTCTGGAGAACAGGCTCTGAGGGACCCTTGGGCTGGGGCATGGGGAATTCTATGATCTCAAAATACAGTCTTTTATCACTCATTTCTTCTTTTTGGGAAGGAGAGCTAGTTACATTCTCATTTCCACCTTATTAGGTGAGGACAATCCCCATCCCACAGGCTCAAGCCTGAGGATGTTATAACGGGGAGGAGGAGACAAAGTGTGCATCTACTACCAGTGACAGGACAAAGTGACATTGAGGTTATTTTTGAAGATAATAATTTCTTCAAAGAAGAGACAGCAGGATTTGTCATTTCAGGGTACCCCAAGACCTTGTCTGGACTAAATACTATGGGATTCTGAGTTGGCAAAATGTAGGGCAGCAGTGGTCCTTGTAGTCTCAGTATTTGAGGAAAAGGACTCTACATCCCTGACTTTGAGTGGGGGGCTTGTAAAGACCAAGTCTTGATGTTGGAGTGAAGCTGACTGCATGACCACAGACAGGGAGTCTTAACTTCAAGTTTCACTGATGTATGGTCAAATAGTAACGATTGAGATTCAGAGATTTGTGTTGACAATGGACTATATTTAAGAGAAAGAAGAATGTAAAGAAGGGAAATGATACATACTGAGAAACCATTTACTTCAGACGCAGGGTTAGTATCTTCAGATTCTTCTCAATCTTCCTAACACCCTTATATATCTTTTACACAATTACACTTATGATAGTGGTATTTTGTTAAGTAACCTGCCAAGCTGGTAGTTGGCACAGTTTAATTGGAATCTAATTTATCTGAACCAAAAGCCTGTGCTCTTTCCATGAACCAAATATTCCTTGCTAGGACTCCAGAGGTGCCAACCTTTCTAACCACCAGGAGTGAGACAACCTCACAGTGCAGTTGGTTTACTCAGAAACTCAGAGTAAACCCAGGCATGGGAGAGAAGGCACTTTGCCCCGAGACGCAGAGCATATGCTTGTCAGGGCGAGGACAAGCTTAATTCTAGACCGTTCTCGTCCTTCCCCTGAACTCTCGTGCTTATGCGGATACTTGTTTATCTCTGAGGTTCCCCAGAGCAATACGGAAAATGCGATTTCATGCTAGAACGTTCTGATCCCTCTAAATCCAAGGACAATTGTAAAATTACCCCGACCGCACTCTTCGCCCAGTTCTGACCCTCAGGCGGGGACCACAGGTCTCAGGACTTGCGCCCCAAAGACAGGCTTTCCTCCCTCCCCTCCCCACACGCAGGCGGTTCCCAGAAGGGGCGGCTGGTCGGGGACCCCGGGTGCGGAGCCGGAGGCGCCGGGCCGGGTTGGGCGGGAACGGAAAGTCGCGGCCGGGTTTCAGGTGTGTCTGACCCAACTGCCCACGACCCAGAACGCCGCCCGGGCCGGCGGCGGCCGCGCTGGGCCGTGGGCCGAGGCCTGACTGAGGGGGGCGATTCCCCGCAGAGGATTTCGTGTACCAGTTTAAGAGCTACTGCTACTTCACCAACGGGACGGAGCGGGTGCGGCTGTTGAACAGATACGTCTATAACCTGGAGGAGTACGTGGGCTTCGACAGCGACGTGGGGGAATTCCGCGCGGTGACCGAGCTCGGGCGGCATACCGCCGAGTACTGGAACTCGCAGGCGGACATCTTGGAGGTGGCCAGATACGTCTATAACCTGGAGGAGTTCGTGCGCTTCGACAGCGACGTGTGGGAGTACCGCGCGGTGACCGAGCTCGGGCGGCCGGACGCCGAGTACTGGAACTCGGACTTCGTGGAGCAGACGCGGGCCGTGGTGGACACGGTGTGCAGACACAACTACCAGTTGGAGACCCACATGTCCTTGAAGCGGCGAGGTGAGCGCGGTCCGCAGCTGTCCGCAGGCCCACCTCCGGGGGGCAGAGTCTCCGCGGGGAGGGGCGGCCTCTCGGACCCGACCCCGGGGCCCACGGAGCTGACAGGGAGGCGGGGCGCGTCGCGCGGCGGAGGGCGGAGCAGCCGCAGCGCCTTCCGCAACGCTCCAGATTCCGCCAGAGGCCGGCCAGGCCTGCCCAGTGTGGCAGCTTCCGCGCCCTCTGCTATTCTTTCCATCCATTCTGCACCTCCTCACCTCTTGCCATAGGTGTGTTTGCTTCCTTGTCCCTCACCTTTGCCTAAGCAGTACCCCGTGCCCGGTGTGCCCTCCTTGCCCACGGGTCCTGCCGTGAGCTCTCCCAGCAAGGCCTATTTTCACTCTGCCGCCGCGAGGCTTAATGAACAAGCTTGACCTGGTGGGTTAGAGCTGCTCCCCGACTGCGTGCAAGGCACCTTGCACACGTGGTAATATATTAGAATCGTGACATATATTCTGACTTTTTGGTTTCAAATTATTATTTTCTTAAATGGCTATCACTAGTCCTGGACCTCTTTGGGGCGAGGGACTGTTAATTATCGTTGCATTCCTAATACCTCATACATTGAACCTCGCAGTATGAGCTCAATAAACCTTTGTGAAATTAATGAATAAATGTACTCAGCTGCTCATCCACTTAGGCTCAATAGAAAGCAGAGGAGTAAGTAGAGCCTTAAAAACTGACTTTATTATTTTGTACTATTTTGCTTAATGCATTAAGGTCAACTCTTGAGTTGGATCTTAATAATTTAGAATTCGTGAATGCAAATTCTGAGGGAAAAAATGTTTGCTAAAAATAAAAACAACACTTGAATGATGTTGTATGACCCTAGTGTTATCTATGTGTGTTCACATAACTTTCAGCTTACTTTGTACTCTTCTGCCTTTTGACCCACATCTGAATGCCACTATGTACTTATATTTTTGCTATTTCAGGTCTTTTTTTCATAAAAATTATTTTAACATTTTTCTGTTGAACTTGTGCCTTCTATTTTTACTGTCAACCTAAGATGACAAATTTTATAAGTCCATGTAGCTGACCATGATTTTAGTCAGACTCCAGGAAAGAGAATCGAACAAGTTAAAATCTGAAGCTGAAAACATGATTCCTTCCAGATTGTGGCTCACGAGTGCCACAATTTTGTTAGTATTACATGCTGAGAATTATAGAATATAGCCTGTTTGAGAAGCATTGCTTTGTAGGAAGGATGTGATGGTCACTGTTCTCCTACTCTATTGGACGTAGAAATGTATATTCATTCTTAATTCTGAGTTCATGTTACTATTTGTGGGGCCTGACTAGTGTTGATGGTCTCATGGCTAGCAGGAGACTCAAAACTGATGTATTTTCTCTACTGTGAGGAGTACTGGGACTAACAGAAAACAGTGTCACTGCCCTAGTATGAATCACTAGAGCTGATCTGTAGTTACTTTCAATAGGTGTGGGGGAAAAGAAGTCCAGGTTTATTATATTTATTTTTCCATGTTTTATAAGCAGTGGCCTGTATAATATGGCAATTTATAATTTTAAAGTGTTTCATTTTTATCAATTGGTATCAACAGAATAACTCCCATAGAATGATTACTATTATCTCTTGAGTAAACTGACTGATGTGTTTATTCAAGCTGATAAAGTAGCCCAGCTCAGATCCTAATCCAAGTTGGAATCCAGGGATCTTTCTACTCTGGAACCAAGAAAGACTCTTCTCATGGGGAGATTTGCTGTGTGGTCTCACATCTCTCTGTGTCTTTTTTTGTCTGTTACTTCCCTCAGTGATACCCACAGTGACTGTCTCCCCATCCAAGACAGAGGCTCTAAATCACCACAACCTGCTGGTTTGCTCAGTGACAGATTTCTATCCAGGCCAGATCAAAGTTCGGTGGTTCCGGAATGACCAGGAGGAGACAGCCGGCATTGTGTCCACCCCCCTAATTAGGAATGGGGACTGGACTTTCCAGATCATTGTGATGCTAGAAATGACTCCCCAGCAAGGAGATGTCTACACCTGCCACGTGGAGCACCCCAGCCTCCAGAGCCCTACCACAGTGGAGTGGCGTAAGGGGCAGTTTGTTTTCTTTCACTGTGGGCCCCAAAAGACAGAGCTTCCTTTGGCCTATTCCATATCGTCCCTTATCTCTGATGTTACTACTGAGCTGGACATCACAGGAGACTAGAGTGCCTCTTGTGCCATGGTGGGGGCATCAGAAACATCTTGATCTCATTGCCTTTCCAGGTACTAGGGTGGTTCACCATGGCCCTGGAACCCAGCGCTGATAGCTCTGAAGGATTAACTGTTGCGCTGTAACTGGGGTCTTAGCGTCTAAGGTTAAGGGTGTGTCTCAAGGAACAGTTTCTCTCACCCACCCACAGTGTCTAAGGATTTGTTGGCTGGTCCTCCTTTATGGGTGGTCAGAATGAGAACTAGGTTCTCCTGGCACCTCTACCTCCTATACCTCAGACCAGACTTCCAGCTTCCCAAAGGGACACTGTGGGTGTGGGGGCAAATGCTGACACTCAGGCTCTGCTCCTCAGGAGCACAGTCTGAATCTGCTCAGAGCAAGATGCTGAGTGGCGTTGGAGGCTTCGTGCTGGGGCTGATCTTCCTTGTTCTGGGCCTTTTCATCCGTCACAGGAAACAGAAGGGTAAGGAACTCTGGGGAAATGGGGAAGAAGAGCTGTGGCTGACACTCTGTTGAGGGAGTTCTCTGCTTCTAGGTATAACTCTTACCTCCTGACCCCGAAAGGAAAGAGTCTGGGCTGGTGGTGGGAAGAGAGGGAAAAGCCTATGGGAAGACTTTGGACTGATTTTACTGGTTGAAAGGTAGCCCTACCACAGAGGTGACTAGCAGAGTGTAATGATGAACAGGACTTCCAGTTCATCATTATCTCACTGGCCCCTTTCTGAAAGCTTCTTGTTTTAAGGGGTCGGGACATTGGTTTCCCTAGTGACAGTTTCATTCATTTTGGGGGATTTTAGCTTAGGGTGGTTAAGGCATTGTGGTTGCTGAGCAATGAGGAAATAAATTACCAATTAAGTTGCATATCTCATTTCTTCTTGGAGTGAGTGAGGGACTGGCTGTTTGTGTGATGAGAACTTTCTCTGTATAACTTCCTTTAATAGGACCTAGTAGGCCTCTACCAGGTACTATTTCTGCTCTATTCAGTGGGGGTGAGGGTGGGGTGCGGTGGGGTGGGGCAGGGGAACAGATAAAAGAGGGAAAGGCCTGAGGTAAGTGCACCTGGGCACAGTAGTCCAGGCTCATGGCCTATTCCTTGCCATGGGATCCAGAGTTAGGGGAGAAGTTTGCCCAGTTTCTGTAGGAAGCTCCAGAGGTTGTTATGCAGAACCAGGCCATAAATTTGTGGCATCTTTCTGTGAAACTTGGAGCCAGAGCCACGTCGTGGGTGTTAGGCACAAGGACGATGCCCACATTGTGCCAAGTATTGGTGGCTACTGCCTGTGGATATTTATAAGTGACTAAAAGAATACTAGTGGTAGAAAGGTGAGTTGTCAGCTAGTTTACTAAAAAGAGTGAAACCATATTCCACTGAAGAGTAACAGCTGCTCTCTCGCCTCCCACACACTTGTGTTGACCTGAATTGCATGTCCTCTTTAGCTGATTTCACCTTTACACAAATATTGAGGGAGGTGATGACTGTATGCCCTGGACCTTAGTTTTCTCTGTCTCATGCTGCAAGGAGGGGAGAGGATAGATACACTGCTCAGGGCACCCAGTGCTGATTACTCTCTCTTTTCCAGGGCTCCTGCACTGACTCCTGAGGATACTTCTGATATGCCTGCCTGTCCTTGCCCAGAATTCCCAGCTGCCTGTCACCTTGTCCCTCTGAGATTAGAGTCCTACGGTGACTCTGATGCAGTTGCCAGGTCACCTCCTGCGAACCCCACCCCAGGGATCTGACTGTAATGCTGCTTCCTGCATTGATCCTGGAGCCTCTGCCGGTGCGATGCCAGCAGCAATTGCTCAGGACCCAAGGCATTTTTTTCTGTTTCTATTCCCCCCTACCAACTATTCAAGAGGAGCTCATTGAAACCATTTACTTGCCTATACAGCTTTAATCATAATTAAACGTATTATGAGTTTTCTGTATCCTGAACCTCCTTAAATGAGTAAAGGTAGCAAAACACTGCAGAATGAAAGAATATATTTTGAGATGACCCAACCAACCTGGGACCAGAAGGAGGGGTTGTTCTTTGAAAGGAGACTAGAAGCATCTTAGGGTGTCATGTAAGAGTGGGAAGAGGAGATAAAAGATCATTTCAATTGTAACATTCTTCATAGTTCTTTAGTATTGATGTTGATTGCAGTGGCCTTAGGATATGCTGGCCTCTTCCAGTTTGGTGAGAATTCTGTAAGTAAGCATAGTGGAATTGTTTATGGACCGATACACTGGCCTTGGGTCACTGATGTTTCAAATATATCCTGGCAAGTCATATTGATCAAGGTCAATTTTTATTTTTGAGAAAGTATAACCAGCATTAAAAGTACTATTTTTTGTTTCAAATGATAGAAATCCAACACAAATTTATTTTGTTCATGTTATAAGTAAGTGTGGGGTCAAGTTGATTTCAGAAGTGACTAAATCCATATATTCAATGAGATCTTCCTCTCTTTTTCTGTTTTATCTCTATCTGCGCACCTTTGTCTCTTTGTGTCTCTTTTTGTCCCCAAATGTTTCTATCAGTGTATCTCTCTGCATCTTTGTTTCCATTGCCAGGTCTCTCACTGTATCACTGCTTCTCTTTCTTTTTTTTCTCTCTGCACTTTTGTCACTATTTACCGGCATCTCTTTATCCTCTGTTTCTTTTTGCACCTCTCTATTTTTCTGCATTTCTCTTTCTCATCACCTCACATTTAATCTCCTCTCTCTCTTTCTCTCTCTCTCTCTTTCTGTTGTATGTTTGTAGAATGTCTACCAGAATTTTAACTATTTTAGCAAAGATTCTGATGGGCTCAGCCAGGGTAACATTCACACTTCTCAAAAACACCATCCTGTTCATGGGATGCAGACAGTTGGTGTTGTGCTTATCACACTTATTAGAAGCAAGGGCTGATTTTTCCAGATCCTATGTTGCTGGAAATGACTTTCCAGAGTGGAGATGTCTACACCCCTGCCATGTGGAGCACTCCAGCCTCCAGAGCCCCATACGATGGAGTGGTCCAGAGGCGGTTTGTTTCTTGTGGACCCCAGAAGACAAATGGCAGAGCCACCTCTGGTTCTAGGTTTCTTCCTTGGGAAGAGGGGGAAGGAGTGCCAGCTCACATTCATCTCATTCATCCTTTTCTCCGACACAATCAATTCTCAGAGGACAGAGCTCCCCTTGTCTGCGAACATAATGACCTGTTGGTTCCTGATGACATTCTCTTCCCAGGTATTAGGAAGGTCACTACGCACTGTGGATCTTTACACATGGACCCAATCCTGAAAGCTGGTCTCCATCTCAATCTCTGGGTCATGAAGATGGGTGGCTAGGAGCTTATCCCTAAGGTTATGGAGAGCCATGCCATTGAGGAGCTGGCATCCCCTCCTCCCTGCTCCCTTACCCACATGTTGGGCCTGAGGAGCCAATGATAGGTCCTTCCCTCTCCTGGATGAGCTCAGAATAGAGAACTAGGCTTCTTTGGGACTTTCATCTTCTGTAATACAGGCTGCACTGTAGGTCATAGGCAGGGACACTGGGGTGTGGCGACAGACTGATACATGGGATTCTGTTCCCAAGATCATAGTCTAAATTTGCCAAGAACAAGATGCTGAGTGGCCAGAGTGTTTGTGCTGGTTTGTCATCTCCCTCAGGATCAGCATTGCCATTCATTTTAAGAGTAAAGATGGAGTGACACTCCTGTGGAAGTGGAAGGACTTGTGCTATGGGTCCAGGGAGCCCTTGAGCTCTATACTTAGCTGTTTTCTTCTGACTCTGCAAAGACAGGAGGATACCGAACCATACTGAAGAGTTTAGGGAGATATTGAAATCTGATTTTTTTAGTTGAAACATAAGCCCTATTATAAGGATGAATGGTAGAGTATATTTTGGGACATCCTTACAGTTCAACATTGTCACACTAGTCCCATGTTGGAAGATTCATTCTTAATAATGTCAGAGTCTTCTTCCTTCCCAGTTTCATAGAAACAGCTTTTTTTTTTTTTTTTTGCATCCAGATTGCATTGGGTAATGTAATCTTTAATTGATAATTTAATTAAAATGACAAATATATCTTTTATAAACAAATTTGCTATCAAAAAACTCCCTGAATCTTAGTAGGCATGTAACTTGGAGAAAAAAAAATGTGTGGGTGTTCTAGACCACCCACTACTAGTCATGAGCGTTTGATCTTACTTTCAATGATATCAGTCAATATGTCTTCCAGGGACAGTGGCACCAATATTCCATAAGCTTCTGCACATTTTCCAGCCTCCTCTGGTTAGGTTGGGGTCAAGTGACTAGTACCAGCTAATGGAACTTAAATGTGGGTGTAAATGTGGGCTCTGTCTGCTTTGTCTTCCTCTGGAAGCCGTTGTTGAGGTGATGGTATATGAAATGCTAGAGACTCCATAACCTGAGTCCCTTGAATGATTGTGGAATTGAGTCCCCTTTATTAAGCTAAGCCACTGAGATCTAATTTTTACTGCAGATTAAGATCTTACTGCAACATAACCTTACCCTTCCTGACTATAATAGAATGTTTAACTGAAGGAGGAAATTTCATAAGTCAAAAGGGTGAGTCTGCTGACTTAATGACTATAAGAGATAAATTTTAATATATATATTCCCAGTGACTAGAATAGTGCTTCTGTAAGGGAATGCTGTCCTGATCCACCTAGATTCTTCCCTTTGAGACTGAAGGATTTATTCCCTTAGTTGCTGCGAATGTTGCTGATAGCCCTCAGCTGTTAACCCACCTCCAGAATTACCTTAGGTAAGGGGAGCTGTCTCACCCAATTTTCACCTTATTTCCCAGGGCAACTTATGTCCAGTGACTGCTCAGTGTGGAGGTATAAATGTCCCTATTTGGGGCCAACTCTGAAGGGCTCTTGCAGCTTCAGAGCTCCCTACAGGTTAGCTTAAGAACTTTTTGTAACTGTATAACAGCCCAGCTTCTAAAATCTTGCTTTAATTCATGGGTCATCTTATATCATTCTTCTTTCTATTGTAATTTAAATATACTTATTTCTGTGTCTTCTTCTCTTAAGTATGGCCAATGTCTCTTAGCCCCCTTTTTTGAGATATGAAGGTATTGGCATCATTACCCTTCTTTTCCCCTCTCTTTTACACTCCCACTTATGAAATTGAGGTATCTTCACTTTTTTGAAATACATATTGTTGAAGCTGAAAATATTAACATTCTGCTGTAACAATAATTGTCTTTGGACTTTGCTCATAGATTAATTCTAAAAGTGGGAAAAAGTTGTTTATCACTTTCTAAACATCATGTGTAGTCAAGCATTTGAGGCTTCCCGTGGAACTGCTGTAGCAGGATCTCTTTTCAGTGACATCCTGGGTTGAATCCACCATTTCTTGCAGTCCTTGCCTTTCTGTCTTCTGAATAACAACCTCATTTTACCTACTTAATCAACTTCCAATAAAAATATTCTTAATCAACTTCCAGTAAAAATATGTGTGGTAGGTAAATTTTATATCCTTTAATGTCTACAAGTTTTTATTCTTCATATCTGTGATTTCAAAAGTTGTATGTTTATTAATAGAAAATAATTTTTCTTTAGAACTTCCAGACCTTTCCCATTATCTTAATGACAGAAGTATTTGACAGTCTGATTATCCTCTGTTCAGTTTTACTTTCCCTCATTGGGATATTTTATGATCTTCCTTTAACTTGAGGTCCCGAAATTGATATACTTGATAATAAAAAATGATATACTTGAGTCTGTTTTCATTAATTTTGTTAAATATCTGAAAGCCCTATTTTATGTAAAGAATTAGGTCTTTTGTATCAGAAAATTTTTTCTTATTATTTGTTATGATAATTTTCTCCCTTCATTTCTGTTTTCTCTCTAGGTCTGTTAATTTGATGTTAGACTCCCTGGGTCTATTCTCTATGTCTTATATTTTCTACCATATATTACATTTCTTTGTCTTTTTTTTAATTTCAGGAAGATTTTCTTGATTTAATTTTCTGATCTTTCTATTAAATTTTTATATTTTTTAGCTCTATATTAGTACTTTTATAGATAAAATACCTTTTTCACTTCTAAGAATTTTAATTAGAATTAATAAATTGTTTGCTTTTACATGCACTTTCTCTACTAAATCTGATGATTTTCATTTTATTTTCTCATCTTTTCTTTCATATTGCAAGATTTTCTCAAACACTTGCTCTGCCCTCTTTAACCTTGTCTTTCACATGCTATGTACCATTTTATTTCATTAGAAATAAACTCTTCAACTCTTCTCTAAACTTTACCAAATTAGACCTGGTTCTTGATTCTTCTTTCATGTTACCTTGTTCTTTTCCTTTCTAAGTTCTTCAGAGTTTGTTATTATATGTTTGTGGAATTATTTCATATATAATATCCTCCCACTGGAGTATATCTTTTTGGAAGATAATGAATGTATCTGTTTTCACATTATTTTAATACACTCAGAAAATAGTAAAATATGTATCACAACACTGGTACTCAATGACCATTTTGCTTTATTGTTTGAATTAGCAAATATATCAATAAAGTTTGGGGCTTAGTCCATTCAATAATAGAGGGAACATTACTTTTTTTCTTTTGAGTTTATTCCTTGTTATGTATTTAATCTTTAGGTTAACATTTCTGAGACGGTCCTATAGCCTGGAGTAGTATGTAGATACTCAAGGTTTTCTAAGTGTGATAAAAAAGACTTTAAAAACCATAACTTTAAATTGAATGCTTCTGTGCCTATTTTTTTTTGTTTTTCTTAGAATACTTTAAAAAAACTTTGTATTTTAAATATACAGTAGTAGCAAGAATAGTACCATATATCAACAGTTCAGTTTAACAGTGATCAATTCATGGGAAATTCAGTAAACCATTCACTTAATCTTACATGCACACTGGATTATTTTAAAGATAATCTCAGACTTCATATAATTTCATTCTTAGTATTTTATTATGAAATCTAAAATATAATGAATTTTTAGGAACATAACAACAATTCCATACCACACCTAAAATTAGATAAATAATTCCTTAGTACAGTCAGTATTCAGTTTTTCTGATTTTCTCACAAGAATTGTTTTTACTCACATTACAGTAATCCCCCCTTATTTGCGATGATTACAGCATGAGATTTCATCACATTACTTACAACAGCAGGCAATTTAAAACACATGAATTGTTTATTTCTGGAATCTTTCATTTAATATTTTGAACTGTGGTTGACCATGAGTAACTGAAATCACAGAAAACAAAACTGTGGATAAGGGGAGGACTACTGTATTTTATTAAAAATATCGA